AGTTCCTAACAAAGATAGATCCTTACTGGACAAACACTATAACCTCTTTAAATACTAAACTGAAATGGCCTTCTAAAAATGACTAACATGTCTACCTTCTTCTCACCTAAGTATCAAAGGTCTCTACTCTTCTATCCGACTTTCTTAAGGGTTTTCCTCCCATGATGACATCAAGGCAAGATTCCTGGAAGGAGGAAATATCTGAGATATTTGATGTATGTAAAAAGAAAAGACTGTGATTTTGGTCTCAGGTGTGGTAGTAATCTAGTTTCTACTTCTGACTATGCAGTGCGTGGCAAATGACAAGATCTTATTTTGAACTCTGACCTTGTATCTTCTTTCCATAATAAAATCTGTTTCTCTTCTATCTGTTTACTATTTGGTTATTTCCCATACTTTCTCCTCCTTTCCTTTGTTCTAGTCTGTTTTTTGTCCCTACATGTTTCCTCTTTTACATGCTGCTATGCTCCCAGCCCTGTAAATTACCTACTAAAAATTAATCATTTTGCAAAATACATTATACATATCCCATTAATACTTTTGCCAAACCCATGAGATGGGCATTATTATTTTCAATGTATAGATAAGGCTCAAAGAGATAAGTAACTGGTTCAAAATCTCAGCCAACAGTAAAGCCAAATGTGCAGCTGGTTCCAAATGTACTCAGATCGACACAGCTATAAAACACAAGAAGTGGGAGACTGGGGAAGGGATTAAATACAGTTAATTCATACCTTTAAAAAAAAGAAGAAAGAAACTGAAGAAAACAAGCAGATGCATGAAGATACACAGAAACTTGTTAAACATTGTATAGATAGACTTACTCAAGAAAAACGTTTTCATTTCCACTTCTACTCTGGGGGTATATAAGGAAACTATTCTTTTTCTTAAAACCCTTACTCTGCAGGATCAAAATGAGCAAACAGTGACCACATAAGTGAGAAAGTAAATTAAAATGTGCTTATAACTGCATTCTTATGACTGACATAAAACTCTGTACCACAGCCATTCCTTAGAAGCCAGCTCATGGGATCAGTTAGGCAAGCCCATTTCTAAATTCTGCATCTAGAGACCCACAGTATAGAACATACTGGTGAGTTCTTTTGTACCCAACCTTAGCTGACACTTCACTATAGCGAAAGGGAACTGCCAACAGTTTTTGTCAAACTCACTGCTGTGGACCCCACAGCTGGCAGAGACCTTGTCTAGAGTTGTAGGCATCCAAATCATACAGATGGTCCAGCCAACTTGATGATGAGGCAGGGATCAGAACTCTTTGGTGAGCTACATAACCATCAAATGCTGCAACACAGGAAATGGGCCCAAAAAAGTTTCAGGAGGGTACAATTTTGTCTTTGCAATCCATTTTCAAATGGTAGTTAAATATTAAGGCAAAATCAATGTACGAAATTACATAAACTTATAAAGTACTTATGAAGGATAATGTCCTAAGCACTTGAATACTTATTACATGTTAGGAACTTCATACACCTCATCTCATCCCAACGTCCCAACACATCAGAGCACCTGATGTTAACAGATACCCTTTTCTCAGTAGGTAACCAGGCTCTGAGATGTTTGGTGCCTCTCCCAATTGCTAGCTGCTTAAGTGGGAGAGTCAGGACATGAACTTTAGTCACTTGGTTAAAGAGGCATTTAAAAATGCAGCATTCTGGACCCAGATTGCTACCTAAAAATCCCAGCTCTGCCACACACTAGCTGTCTAGTGCCTCAGTGCCTAAGTCACTGTGCCTCAGTTTCCTCATCCGTGAAATGGGGCTCTTCTACCTCATGATACTATTATTTTGTTGTTAGGATTGGATTAGTTAATACATGCAAATGTGTAAATATTATGTATGTACAATACACATAGTATACACAGTGCCTGACATAGACACTATACAAGCATTACCAATTATTATTGATTCGAAATCCACTGTTTTATTTCTACCACCACTCCCCCCGCCCCGTGTGTGTGTGTGTGTGTGTGTGTGTGTGTGTGTGTGTGTTGGGGTTCCAAAATCTGGAATGGAGGTGGAAGGTAGGACTGAGAGAGAGGAGAGGACTGGAGATGGCAGTAGAGAGCTTCTAGTAGGTATGTTTAGGCTCTGACCCAATCACTGACTAAAAGAAGCTTGGTGCAGCTCTTTGAAGGCAGGAGAGTAAGGAAGCCCTAAGTTCTACAGTCCTATTTTGAGACTAAATCAGTATAACAACTTCACCCAACCAGGAAATGGAGATTCCAACTTGGATGGTGTAGCTCTTTCCTGAGGCTGTTCAATCCATTCACAGTTGATCAAAATGAAATCTCCAGAAGTTCTTAAAAGTCTAATTACAATTCAGATCACAAAGTCATTTTTCTGACCTCCCAAGTTCAATATCTGTGCTCTATCTTGAATGCTTTACCCACTTATATTTATAGAAAGCTTTATCTATATTGTTAACTATTTTAGGTTATATACCTAAAAGTAGAATTAAGAAAAAGGATTTAACACTTTAAGCCTACCATGCATGTTGCCAAAATGCTTTCCAGAAAAGTTACCCCAAATCACACTGGTTCAGCCACTCGCACCTACCACTTAGCATCATGATTCAGAAAGGAGAAATCTTTGCTAGTATTAAAGGAGAAAATACCACCTAGTTGATTTAACTTGCATTTCTTTCATTACTACTAAGGTCAATTTTTTCTATTTGGAAGCTATTTGTATTATTTATTTTAACTGTATTTTTTTGTCTTTAGTCAGCTTTTTCTGTTGGGAGATTCTACGTTATTTAATGATTTATGCAAGATCTTTCTACGGTAATACAGTTTCTTCCTTAGTTTTGTGGAAAATAGTTTCCCAGTTAAGTTATTTGCATATTAATTTATTTACTTTTTAAATTAAAAAAAATTTTTTTAAGATTTATCCATTTGAGACAGAGAGAGAGAGAGCCAGCAAGCACAAGCGGGGTGGGGGGGTAGGGAGGGGCAGAGGAAGAGGGAGAAGCAGACTCCCGGCTGAGCAGGGAGCCCAACACGGGGCTCAATCCCAAGACCCCGAGATCATCACCTGAGCCGAAGGCAGACACTTAACCAACTGAGTCACCCAGGTGCCCCAACTGTTTAAATTTTTTTAACAGAAGTTTGGAGTCCATCTCATAGGAATTCAAAATTTATTTTATACCTTCCTATATCAAACTGAGGTATTTAAGAAACATATCACTCTTATTTTCTTTTGGTCAAAATATATATTTCTTAAAAGAATACACAGAAAGGTAAGTTTTACCAGAATACAAGCTCTTCAAAAAAAGAGATCTGACCTATTCACTCACCCATGTTCCCAGCTCTTGTAACTGTTCTTAGCACATGGCAGGAGTTCTATTTGTTGAAAAAAATAAGTGCACTGCTATCTTGCAATTTGCGTGAAAGCAGCAAATCAAACTCCCAAAGACTTCACAAAAATAAAACAATTATTGCTGACATGCAAAATCTGCAGTGACAATGCCTGGACTTCTGGCTGAAGTACACTTCACTGGTAGAATGTATAAATTTGGGGCTTTGTTTTCTTTGTATTTCTAACTTTTTCACCACATAAATGAAAATTCTGCTTGTCACCCGAGATTTGCCCTATGAAAATATTTCAAAAACAAACCTCCTCTTCCTCTTGATCTCCACTGGCACCACTCTAGACTAAGCCAGCTTCATCCTAAACTTGGACTCTTGCAATGACCTCTCAATTAGTTCCCCGCTTCCTCTTCTGACCTCTTCCAATACTTTTTCCTATAAAGCCTGGAACATGAGCATCTCAAACCACCAATCTGATTATGACACTCCCCTATTTTCATTGCTTCCCACTGTTTTTAGAATAAAATTTAAAATCCAAAACTCCATATGATCTGGTATAGCCCCATTTGGGGAAGTCCAACCCTACCTCCCCTTGCTGTGCTCAGCCACACTACTGCATTTCAGTTTTCTGAACAGGTCTGACTCATCCCACCTAGGCCTCCCCACTGTCTGTTGCCAATACCCAGGTGGCTCTTGCACACCCCTGCCTGGCCAGCTCATAGTCATGTGGTCATTCTCTGAGCATTACCTTCCCATGATCCGCCATGCTCCAGGCTATATTAGGTCTTAGACTCTTCCTGTACATGTGCTACCTTGTACTTGTGCAGCATTCTTCACAGTGTGTAATTATATATTTACTTGTGTAATTCTTTGCTTTACCTCTCTCTCCCCTACGAGGTAGTAAAAGTTCATGGACAAAAAGTTTGGTCTGTTTTGCTCATCAGTGTATCTCTACTACCTACCACAGAGCCTGGCACCTATTTGGCACTCAACAAATACAAAATGAGTAAATGAATGAAGGAGAACAGCTCAAGGCCATCCTCTGCCAGGAAGCCTTTCTCACTGATGCCCAGGCCACAGGATGCTTCCCTTTTTGAATATCCAGGAGCATTCTTGTCTATTTTGTCCCAAATGAATTATGTTGTAAAACATAATGTTTCTTGTTTTTATTTCTCTAAGTCTGCTTATTTTCTCAGCTACAGTGTTCCCCCTTCCCTCTAACACCGGCCTCAGAGCTGATTCTCAAACACTCTTGACTCACCCTTTCTCAGAGACCTTGCATTTGCTGTTCTCATTCAGAACACTCCCCTCCCACATATTTGAATGATTCCTTCCCAGTCATTCAGCCTCAAAGGTCATCTCCTCAGGGAGACTCTGCTTCTCCAATAACCAATCCCACTTGATTATTGCTCCCAGCTCTCATTGCTACCTCCCGTTACAGTGCACATTTACACACTTATTTCTTATCTGGCTCCCTCATCAGAACACAGGCCCAAGAGGATGTGAGAATTTGTCTGGTTCCCACTGTATACCTGGCATATAGTATTTATTATATACTGGCATATAAATATTTATTAAATGTCTGAATACCAGCTCCAATGAGAGTCCAAAGCTCCCACTCAGATCAACATGAGCATGAGTAGAAGCTAACCCAACCTTCACTTCAGGGTCTTACCTCAGGGAAAGCAGTAGGAATTTCTTAACAGATTGCTTCTGATGCAAAGAGGCAACTAAAGGGGAGAAGAAAGCTGATGAAAAAGAAGGTAGAGAATAGAAAAGGAGAAATCAAGTCAACTGAATGGGGTGAAAGGGGAAAATACTGGAATCATAAGGATTTGAAATCTTTTCAAAAGCTACATAACATCCAGATAGTCAAAGCTTGAGCTTCCTTTTTTTTTTTTTTCCCCTCTTTTGAGCTTCCTTTTGATATATGTGGCTCTGAATGAAATGCAACCTCTCTCTTCTGGCAAATCAGCTCGACACTCATGTATTTGATGAGATATGTCACCTAAAGGTGTAATTAGAGGAAACTGAAAAAAAAAAAAAAGAATAAAAAGAGAGAGAGAAAGAATTTAGATCATAATAAAAAAAGAAGTTAGATGCTGATATGGGCAAAAACATTTATAAAAGTCTCACAAAAAAAGTAAGAAAATATTTCCTTTGTTAAACATAACTGATGCTACATTATAAGTGGGCTGATCTGCCCAGAGCTCGCAGAAAGAAAAGAGATTAAAATGTTTCCACATTGAAAACCACCCCCAGGGCGCCTGGGTGGCTCAGTTGGTTAAGCGACTGCCTTCGGCTCAGGTCATGATCCTGGAGTCCCGGGATCGAGTCCCACATCGGGCTCCCTGCTCAGCAGGGAGTCTGCTTCTCCCTCTGACTCTCCTCCCTTTCATGCTGTCTCTCATTCTCTCTCTCTCAAATAAATAAATAAGATCTTAAAAAAAAAAAGAAAACCACCCCCAAATATATAACTTTAGATTTGCTTAAAAATGAAAACATAAATAAGGTATGGGTGATAAGGTCTTGTTATAAAACAACAATAAGAACTGTGATAAATTAGAATGGGTGGGAGGTTTTCTGCTGTGGATTTTTCTAACTCAGAAAGCAAACACGGGAGCAGTTCTTCCCCTGTATTTGATCACCTGATATGAGATTAGAATTATGTTCACAGTTTAAATTCAATTCTTGGGGAGAAAATAGCCATGTCTATAAAAATATCATGCACAGTTTCAGAATCCATGATTATCTGAAATAAGCTGGCTCCCACCACTAGCCATTTAACTAACTAGATATCCAAAAATTAACTCTTATCAGCAGTAAGGCCTTAAAGTTCTCACTTTCTTCCTTGATAAACAAAAAATCCAGGCAATAAAAATCTTAAAATAAAACTGAGAAAAATTAAAAAAAAAATGGAGAAAAATGTTCCTTTGTTAATATAAGGTTGATATTTACATCACAAATCAAGACTTAGAAAAGAAAAAGAAGTATGTATAAAGCCAAACTCATAACTGAAGAAAATGCAAATCATGGGGTAGGAAAGTAAAGAAAACAATATATTATGTATCACTGCATCTATGCATTTATGTTTTCATTCATCTTTCTCTCTGAATAGCCTAGCCATCCATTAATAAAAAACGATAGTTTACATGAATTATTTTAGCTACATTCCCAACAAATATGCAATGTAAATTCGAAAACTCTTTTTTTACGCAACAACAAACTCAAAGCACATCATTTTACCTCTGGTCTAATCTGAGAAGCCCATGCAATTGGATTCATAGTCTTTTTCATCATTCTCTGGAGCTCCAAAAGTTTTATTAGACATCTTCTCTTCTACCGCTTCTCCCTTGCTAAAATGAAGCTTACTAGGCCAAAGAAAGAGAAAAGAATAGAGGAGATCAAAGGGTAAATTTTTTTCTTCCCTGACATTTTAAAAGGAACTATAAAATTTTGCTTGTGAATGGCATTCATGATCCCCACCATGATTTTAAAAAGTGGAAAGCAGAATAGTGAAAAAAATATACCAGTGTTAAAGCTTACAAAATGCATTGAAGATTATGTTACCATTTTATTAATTAGATTCTGTTAAGCAGAATTCAGCATTTCCACCCTGGAGGTTGATGTCACTGTGAATTCTTGAAAGAGAAAGCAGGGTTAGAATATTTGAAAGATATTTATGACTCTATCATGATGTTGCATAACTTTGAGTGAGAAAAAAATTATTTTATGATCGTCTGGTTAGTTATTTTATAATAAATGTTTGCAGATGTTGTTATATATTTCATTAGTCTACTTGGGCTGCTATCACAGCCCTGGAAGGCTTAAACAACAGAAATTTATTTCTCCAGTTCTGAAGGCTGGGGAGTCCAAGATCAAGGTGCTGGCAAGGCTGGCTTCATGCTGAGTCCTTTTCTCTTAGTTTGTAAGTGAGAGCCATTTGCCATGTGCTCACGTGACTTCTTTGTGCATGCAGAGAGAGAGAGAGAGATCCCTGGTATTTCTTCTTATAAGAGCACTAAAACCATCAGACCAGGGTCTATCCTCATGACCTCATCCAACCCTAATTATCTCCCCAAGATCTCATCTTCAAATACCATCACGTTGGGGGTAAGAGCTTCAACATATGAATTTGAAGGGGGGACATAAATATTCAATCTATAACATGCACCATGAGGCACATATGTCATTTTGTTCTTCCAGTCACTAAATAATATATATTCTAAGGATAAAAAAATCCAAGGTCCAAATAATTTAGATCACAAAAAATATGTGTATATATAAATGTCTAGTCCAATTTAATAAACATCAGTTAAGTGATGAATATATTCATTTTACAGGTGTCGCACTTGAGAACCACAGAACTGAAGTTTTACTCCAGGTCACAGAGCTGATTGGTGATAAGGTCAGTCTGCTGATAACTAATCCAGTACTCTTTCCAATAAACCCACATCATCCCTAACTGGCATGAATATATTTCTACATGTCAGTCAACAGAACATTTCATAACCCTGGATCATATTACAGTTTGAGGGGTAAGCCCTAGGCTCTACACTCCTGACCTCTGGGGAGTCTGACGGCCCACCCTGAGCAGAGAAAGAGGTCAAAAACCTGACCCCTATCCCAAGACACTATGGAGGATTGCACTGGCAGATATCCCCAGTGCAACTGAGGAGGGATTTGAGCAAGTTCCCTTAAAACTTTTTGCAGACACATAGCTATTGATGAAGGTCCAGAAACAAGTTAACCTTGAGCAGCATAGGAAACACATAGTCGTCCAAGTTGCAAAGAACCCAGAAGCCATTTTAAATGGAGATGGTCTCGATGAGGGCTAACGGGCCCTGGGAAGAGGTCCTGAGATCCTCTGATGCAAGGAGCTGATGTGACCAAAGACTCCCAAGTCCTGCTATAGAAGGCACTGGCAAGGCCAGAAATGAGGGAGCCACTGTAGGAGAGCCTGGTCAGACTAGCCACCGGAGGACACTGGTCTCCACTCTTTTCTTTCAGAACACCAGCTCAATTGCACTTAGTTAATTACGGAATTACATGGTCAAAATCTGCCTTCCCCAATAGATTATAACCCCACAAGGTCAGGAACAATTTATACATTATCTTCATATTTTCCCCCAACACCTAGATTAGCATCTAGTCTATAGTAACTGCTCAATCAATAGTCGTTCAATTGAGGAAAAGGAATATCAACTAGCTTTGCTAATGTCTTTGGGATAAAGAATGGTAAGACACTCGGGACGCCTGGGTGGCTCAGTCAGTTAAGCGGCTGCCTTCAGCTCAGATCATGGTCCCAGGGTCCTAGGATCGAATCCCACATCAGGCTCCCTGCTTGGCGGGGAGCCTGCTTCTCCCACTGCCTGCCACTCCCACTGCTTGTGCACATTTGCTCTCACACTCTCTCTCTCTCTGACAAATAAACAAAATCTTTGAGGAAAAAAAATAACAAGACAAAGCAGCTAAAAAAAGGAAATAGAAACGTTTAGCCTTCCATTACATTCTTCTTGGAGCAATTTGTCTCAAAATATGATGAAGTTGGAAGCCCTGAAATGAGTGAAAGCTTGAGTAATTACAACAATAACCACAATACTCTAATTTACATATGTATAGCACTTTATTCTTCCCAAATATCATATTATTATTTAGTTTTCATGACATAACTATTTCCATTTTAAGATGAAGAGGCTGAACTTCAGGGAGGTTATAATTTGTCCTGCATCACAAAGCTAATGAAGTACAGAACCAGGATCCAAATCCAGGTCAAACAATTCTACATCTGGTATTCTTTCCACTTCAACTACATTAAAATAAGAAAAATATTAGTAAATGCTGATTCTGAAATAAATGGGGGAAATAACCATTTTAAAATTGCAAACTTGTCTTCTAGACTAGAAATTTGAATTCATTTTTGTGTCAGTCTCTTTGTTCTGAGAAAAGCAAAAGAAAAAAAATATCTGAGAGAGGCTCTGCTGTTACACAGATAGGAAGCACACATCCACCCACCTTGCTTGGGGAAGACCCAAAAGCAGTGAAACATCCCTAATGTCAACACTACCTTTATTCACTCCATATTTACTGAGCACCTCTGTGTGCTAGTCACCATTCAAAATGAGACACTGTACCATATAATGTCACCTGAGAGTGTTTTTAACAAATCCTTATTCCTGCAAATTATGTCTGAGAGAGAGAAATGTTTCCTTCTCAGTAAGCATGCTGTCTGTCCTATTAAACATATATCCTATTTGGGCCTCCTTGCAGAATGGGATGTGTTGATGTCCGAGTTCTTTGTAGGAGCTAGGATGTTGAGAGGAAGATACCTACATGAGGAAGTGTGTGCTTGAACCTCCTTTCTGTCCTGCTGAAGGAAAGATCATGAAAAGGACACTGGTGGGGTTTGGAACCCTGTGACCCAGGGTAGTGGGCAGAGACCTATTGAAACTTTATTTAAGAAAAGCACAGGGGCGCCTGGGTGGCTCAGACATTAAGCATCTGCCTTCGGCTCAGGTCGTGATCCCAGGGTCCTGGGATCGAGCCCCGCGTCAGGCTCCCTGCTCCGTGTGAAGCCTGCTTCTCCCTCTCCCCTCCCCCTGCTTGTGTTCCCTCTCTCGCTGTCTCTCTCTCTGTCAAATAAATAAATAAAATCTTAAAAAGAAGGAAGGAAGGAAGGAAGGAAGGAAGAGAGAGAGAGAGAAAGAAAGAAAAGAAAAGAAAAGAAAGAAAGAAAGAAAGAAAGAAAAAAAGAAAAGAAAGAGCGAGCCCAGAAAAGCTGAGAAGCACTAATGTGTGATTCAGGTGTTCTGATGATGTGGGGGAGCTGAAGGTTAAATCTACACCAAATAGGGGTGGGTTTTTCCTTTAAAGAAATGGACATTCCCAGTTGGATACTCACTGGGGAGAGACATTAATTCCAGTATAGAGAGTATAATCAACATGGTGGCTGTACACAGAATGTGGGAAACTCTGCTTCTTATCTCTGGGGCCTAGGGGAATTTTGCAGGGTTTCCATTGCTTGGGACCTTCCTATAGGTGGGGTGATGGGGAGGAACTGGTCTCTGCTAGGTGGTGGCCAATTGGAAGCTAAGCAATTTTGAGGGCTCTAAGAAAAGCCACAGTTAGAAAAGCAGTTATTTAAATTTGACTACTTATGTGTTTGGTCTCAGTTGTGTTACAGGGAATTATGGAAGGGCCTGCCCCACATTTCATACAGGCTGGCAACTGGGAGAGCAGGGGTTAAGGGGAGAGTGTGAATATGGTCCCCAAGAGATGACAGGGTGACCAGAGCAGCCCAGCCCTACGTGTTGGTGATTGGAGAGGGAAGGACCAGGGACGTAAAGAGGTAGGTGGGGAGCAAGACTACTCCTCAGAGAGGGTTCTCAGTGTAGTGGGAGAACAATTTAGGCAGGGGGCGCTAATTTCTAGCATTTGGTCCAAAAAGAAGGTTGCCATTCACACTTCAATAATTTAAGCAGTTAAAAAAAATTGTTTAATTAAAAAAATTTCTCTATTTTGGAATCATACTGATGCCTCAGACGCGGGTAAAAGCCCTCTGCCCCTCACTGCTCCCCCACCTCAGACTGCATAAGGACAGCAGGCCCATGGAAAAAAGATTCCCATAACTCTGAGACAGAATCGACAAAAGACTTTACAGACAATTAAATGTCATATCTGAAATACTAAATTTTGCCATTGGAGTAATTCACTCACCCTCAGCTGTCTCTTCTTGTTAACTATTCTCTCTCTATGGAACCAGGATTCTCTGATAGACTCTTGTCTTAAGGAATCCCTGGGCCTCCCCAGAGACAAGGCCCAGCCCCGCCCAAGGAAGCCCACCTGCTTCTCCCTCCAGAGCAAGAAGTGACCTATCTAACATCCTTGAGCAGGAATTAACCACCTGAAAAAATAAAGGGACTCATCTATTCATCATATGTAAAAAGACTATAGTCCCTTCTTCATGCGCCTAATTTAATCACAATTTAGAGTTCATTTTCAAAGTAAATAGACAAACACTCATCTTCTCTTTTGTGTCTATGTATGAGCAAAAAATCAGGAAGAGATATAGAAATCGCAGTTGCAGAATATTAAGCACAGCCCACTGGTTTCTGTTTAAATGAAAATAACCTCTCATTAGCATTTCATAGTTAAGAACATAGACTTAAATCAGACCTGGGTTTCAATGTCATGCTCCCCCATGGATTCCCTAGTATCCTGAGGATAGTTACTTCTAATCCCCAAGCTTCAGCTGCTCTGACTGCAAAATGGACCTGACAATTGTATCTGCCTCAGAAGGTGGTTGTAAGGAGTAAATTATTTAATGTACATGAAACATTGAGAAACAGGCCTGGCATCTGGTAAGTGCTCAAAAATTTTACTATTCATATTTCAGTATTTCTAAAATGTTGCTGAATTCAGGTGCTAATTACTGGGGCATCCCAAAAGGCAGACTTAGAAAGGAAAGCACTACTAGATAAGACTCCAAGCAGTACCCTAACTGTGCTTTGAATTCATCACTTGCCACTTCCATCAACTGCTTCTTTGGTACCATGCTGGAAAATCAACCACAGCACACTAACACCCACACCCCAGCAGCTCTCTAAATCAGTTGTTCTAAAATGAG